TTTTTTTTTTTTTTTTTTTTTTTTTTTTTTTTTTTTTTTTTTCTTTTTCCTTCCATTTCTTCGTATCCATCGTGTGTTGGGCACGGGCACCTCATTCGCTCGAGCAACGGGGCAACGTTTTCTCTTTCTCTCTTTCTCTGGCTCTTCGCTATGGCGCTTTTGGCCGTGTGTATGTGATGTGTCTGTATATAACATATAGCTCTCTCAAGACTATGTAGAGAGAGCGACCAACAGCAGCTTACACGTCTGGTCTCTCTGTTGTTCTATACTTACGTGCCACTGCGAATCTCGTACTTTTAGATGTAGTACTTACGAACCAGCCTTTCCCTTCTATTTTTCTTTTCCTTGGACTTTTTACCCGCGACTGCTGACTCGAGAGATTACGAAATACGCACTGGGGGAACCCGTAATATGGGCGAAAGAGCAACAACGGGGATATAAGTAGGATGTGTATTATACATGTCATGACTCTCTCTCTCTCTCTTCGTGTACATGTACACATACTACACATCCAAGATATGATGGGGAGGAGGAGAAAGAGGAGACACGGCGCAAAAAGACAAAAGCGTATAGTTATTTCTGAATCGTGGAGGCATCTCTCTTTCTCTCTTTATGGAGGAAAATATTATCGAGAGGGCTGGTCTCTCTCTTCTGATGGTCATTCATAATATACATATACCCACATAAAAAACCTGCTCCAGTTGCAGAGTCAGCCAGCATGGCCGTCTTTAAACCTGGGGGGCACCTGCAGCTGTGCTGGCTTCTGGGTTCAATGATTTCAGAACAATGGTTTTTTTTTTCTGGATCATGATTCATACCTGACTCGGTATACCGTACCTACGTTACCTTTCTCTCTGTCGCAGCTCTCAGCAGCTTGTTTTTCTTCTTTATTTTTGTTTTGTTGTCAGCGTTTTATCTGTTGTTTCAATTAAGTGGGCTAGTTAGTACTGTTTATACCTCAAGAGTTAAGTGCCATTGAACACTCATTAACGATCACTTTTTTCCTATTACGATTCATAAAAATGCGAGCAAGTGGACTTGTCGTTTAAAAAGTATGATTTCTAATCTTTCATGTTGAATAGATAATGAGATTATCTGTAAAACAAGTACTGCAACTGCTTATAAAGAGAAATTTATTTTATTACAAAATCAAGGCACGTTGTAAATTTGTACTCCTGCTACCCTGAAATCCAAAAAGGTACCTTTTCTTGAATATATGCAATAAAGACTACATTTCAAAGATTAAACTTGGCTGCTCAGCTAAAAACAAGTAAAACGTGATTTTATTGGATTAGTCTTATGTACTCATGTATTAATAAGCAAATTACGTCATACAACTGAAGTATTTCCATGTGTTTGAAGAGGAATACAAACAATGATCCTTAAGAAGTTTACCTGTTGTGATCTCCTCAATTGGATTTACCGAACAACGTCAAAAGTTGTAATTTGCTATTGTTAAGTCCTAAGATAAATTTAAATACCATAAGCCAAGGAGCAAAAGAAAAAAGAAGTTTTTCATTAATTCAAAATAAAAACTAATATTTATTTAATAACATATACATCACTTTGAGATTTTTATTTATTTATTCAACCAGGTGTATTAAGATATATTTTATGTATGGAGTTATAATTCATAAAATCTTCTAGGGGTTTTGTGGAAACCTATACGCAGACCTAGTTTACCTTAAGAACTGTCATATTGTGTTAAGGGTTTCTGGAGTTCAATGTACACCTTAGTTTAAACAATATAGGATGTAAATTTTTGAAGTACCTAAGCATACAGTTCAAAGTTAGTAGGATACTCAACAGTAATTAAGAAATGTAACTTGGTTTTCAGGAAGTGGCAATAAAGTTGGAAAATATCAGAGCTCGTCACCCACAATTATTATACGAATCTAAATTGTACAGGATACTGCATGGTGGTGTAGGCATACCTCATATACGCTGGTAAGATGTTTTAGTCAGACTGTTATATTTTTTTTTTTTTTTTAATCTCATTAGCTTTAAGTACCATTATAAGTTAATTTTTGTTAACTTGAGAATAAAAAAATTGTCTTATCATAATCATGGGAGTTTGTAATAAAATAACTATTACTCGCACAATAGCGTTAAAATTTATGCATTTACGCCTTTTATAATGAGTCGTATGTTAATTCCTAGAAACGGTTGGAATTTGGAATGTTGACAATCTTGCTCCTAATTGTTGTAATATGTTATGATATTGATAGTACATTACGCTTTAATACCGAAAAGGTAAAAGATAACCTACATGATACGCGTCTAGCCTCCCAAAGCAAAGACCAGGGCGACATTGACCGTGACGCGTACTGATATGATTATTAATGTCAGCATTGTTCGCTCCTATAGTTAAGTAAAAAGCTTCCACTTGGTGTTCACTGACATATACGAATATTATTTTACAAACATTTTTTCATATAACTGCATTTACCGTGCATGCACTGCGTTATGACTTTTTAATTTTGATCAAACACGAATTTTTTTTTAACAATTAACTTTTTCCGAAACCAATGATGTTGGTTATTGTTTTTTTATCATCTCATAAAACTGTACTTTTGAATTTATGTACTTCAAATAAATTACATTATCAGTCCAAGCCAGTTTTGATTTTAAGACATGACCAAGCATTCTTGTCACTTTAAAGAATTAAATAGAACATCAAATAAATTTTTTTTTTTTATTTTATGTCATGTAAAATTTCGATTTATTAACCATCAATTATTTTATTTCTAGGTATGGCCAAGAACGTGACTATAATGTTCTAGTAATGGATCTACTTGGTCCTTCACTTGAAGATTTGTTTACTTTTTGTTCGCGAAAATTCACAACCAAAACAGTACTGATGTTAGCTGATCAAATGATTGGCAGGATTGAATTCGTTCACTGCAAACATTTCATACATAGAGATATCAAACCCGACAATTTTTTAATGGGAATCGGCCGTCATTGTAACAAGGTAAATTTCTTACTTTAAAAAATCTTAACTCATCCCAAGCAAAGTGGCAAATATTATACTCATTAACGTGATGTAGTTTCTTTATGATCAAATTGTTTACCTCAACTGGTTTTCCGGTCCGTAACGCCTTTTCGTGAAATTACCTGAAGAGTTTTTTTTCTCTATTATATATGACGATTCAAAAATGTATGCTCTCAACATGTACAGTAATAATACAATATGAAAAAATCACTTTTTCCGAAATTACATTATTAACTTCTTGATAAAAATAAACATTTTAATATCTCGTGGTGCCTATAAATAACCTTGAATGCTTGTCAACTCTTTCAACAGGAAGGCGTTAGTTTTGGTCGCGTCCTTAGTCACCAATAAACGTTCCTTATGTATACAGGTACTTCGCTAAGGCTAACATCTCTTTACTTTCCAGCTGTTCCTTATCGACTTTGGACTAGCCAAGAAGTTCCGTGACAACCGCACCCGATTGCACATACAGTACCGTGAAGATAAGAACTTGACGGGCACAGCAAGGTACGCTTCTATTAACGCTCATCTTGGTATCGAGCAAAGCCGCCGCGACGACATGGAATCTCTCGGTTACGTACTCATGTACTTCAACCGGGGCTCGCTGCCCTGGCAGGGTCTCAAGGCTGCAACGAAAAAGCAGAAATACGAAAAAATTAGCGAAAAGAAAATGTCCACGCCCGTTGAGGTTCTTTGCAAGGTCAGTATATCGAGCAAAGGTTGTCAGATGTTAATAAGGTTTTGAAAAGTTTCACATGCAAGCCAAAAAATTATTTGTAAAAATGGTGATATCCACATTATTTGAGTGGACTCAACCAAAAGGGGAGGGGGAGGCTTTATGTTTCGCTTCTTTCTTTTATTAGTTTTATTATTTTTATTCTCGTGATGATAACCTAATTGGTTTGGAGACATCAAAGATTAACACAAGTCTTATTGTTACATGGTAGCCGCCGTTGGAGAAAATATGAATATCAATATCGAAACTCAATGAAGAATGTGTATTGAATTTTTCAGGGCTTCCCAGCCGAATTCTCCATGTACCTAAATTATTGCCGAGGACTGCGTTTCGAAGAGAGCCCAGACTACATGTACCTGCGCCAGCTGTTCCGTATCCTCTTCCGCACGCTGAACTACCAATATGATTACACGTTTGATTGGACGATGCTGAAGCAAAAGAGCGCGGTCAACAACGGCATGACACCAGCACCTGGAGCTGGCCAGTCACAGCTCGCTCAAGGCCAGAGCACGGGCCAAGGTCAGACATCGACCCAAACAGCAGCTCAAACAGGTGCTTGTTAATGCTTGATGCTAAAGTTAAGGCAGCGATTGCCGCCAAAATTGTAGAACTTAAGACGCCATTTCTATTTTCCCTCCGTCTTTCTCACTCATTCATTTACTTATTCTCGTGCAGCACTAAATCTAGTAGATGCTTTTGCTCAATTAACAAATTCTCTATCAATTCATCAAAGTAACTTTGCGTTAAGTAACAGACAGCCAATATAATGTTTTCCCTTAATGCATTGTACGTTATGCTCCAATCCTTATAATTTCTAATAAATACTACGTTAATAAATCTGTAAATTTACCAAACTTTATACCTTTCAAAGCATCTACATCTTTAGCACTTAACTGTATTCACAATAATATAATTCATTCCACAATTGGTGTTTTTTTTTTCTTCCACGCGCCACATGCCAATAACACAAATTTGACACGAGTTTTTTGCAATATATCAACATTATCATTCAGATATCTAATTTAGTATTAAAGCTATTCACTGGTCTAATTAACCAGTGATTATTATTCGGGGAGTATTACAGATCAATGAGCTATTTTTCTTGAAAATATTGTTACTCAAGAGCGTATTATTATACAATGGTATTGATATGTAGAACAAACATACAAATTTTTGGTTAAATTGTATTATAGTAAGAAAACATTATAGAAGAAATAACTGCTGTAAATTTTTAAAACCATTCATGAATTTTAAAAATAAAGTGTCCTATACGTACATATACATTTTTTTTTTTTTTATATTATAGTGTAGTGGCCTCATAAGACGTACACATACATATATCCTGTCTTTCAAGGCATATGGTTATAGACCGCGATAGTTCCAGCATTTTTTGAGGTTAGAATTTTCTGCAAGCCACCACTTACGACAAGAAATGTAGTCTTAAATAGTTAGATATCTGAAATGATTAGAATATTTTAAATGATAATTAAAATAATTTTTCTGGTTAAAAATGTAATAAAGTTTTGCTTTTTCATCATGCCACTTGCTAAAACCTTTTTTTTCATCAAACTGCTAACATATCCTTTTTTTTGTAAGTTGATTAATTTAGTTTTTATGCTTGGTAAATGTTACGTACTCAAATTACTTGTCTACCATGATGTTTCACAGAAAATATTGATGCCAGTCAATTTTTATCTTTTTTTCTTACTAATCTATATATTTTTTCGAAGCAACTGCATATTTTTTTCAAACGTGACTAAAACATAATTGTTGTGATGATGAGTAGCAGTTTTATGTTTTTCGTAAGCCCCTTTTCGGCACTAAATGGCAAAGCTACCGTGAGAATTGATTCTTCAGATTCTACGGTTTCCCAAGTTTTCCGCATATCCTAGAACACGAACAAGTATACATCAAAGCATGAAAATTAGTCAACAGTTAATTTTATTTTTATGAATTGACATTAATAAGATAATTTAAATAACTAAAAAATTGTTTTGAACCTTTTGGATGCAAATCTATGAACCTTTCATGCCAATCTATACTTACATTTAATATAACCTATATTGTGATAGCGGCCACGGTAGCACAGCATAGAGATATTATAAGATTCGTACGCATTATAATAAGTTAACCATATTTAAAAGCCAATAAAGTAATATTTTTGAATCATACTTACTTGCAAGTTTCATTCCTAAACTTGATGAATTCTAACAACAATATTTAAATTTACTTTAAAAAATTAAATTTTATATTGTAGGC